ACCACTTATTTCGATCCCTGGACAACTCCCTTCGTGGTAAAACTTTTAACGACGATGACGCTGTAAAATCTCACTTAACTCAGTTTTTGGCCGAAAAGGATCAGACTTTCTACGAGCGTGGAATTTTCAAGTTGTCAGAGAGATGGCAAAAGGTCATCGAACAAAATGGAAAATACATTACAGATTAAACTTCGTTCCAAGTAAGAAAAAATTTTTTATTTCATTGAACAAATCGGCAATTACTTAATTGCCAACCCAATATTTGATTGTGATTTCGCTCGTTTACTTGAATGTGCGGCGAAATCCGTGTCGCGCGAAATCGTTCGCGTGCGAGTCGAGTTCGAATTCTGGCTGGTCCTGTGCGCCGCGTGGCTAGGAAGTCGATTTATATTCGCGAACTTGGTCGACGCCAGAATTTCTTCCGACGAGGCCGGACTTTGCATTTTTTTTCATATTATTACGTAACTTTAAGTTGTTTATGTGCTATACAGTTGTGCTCGCAGCATTCAAAATTTGCTGCTGCAGGTTAATCGATGTATGAATTGAAGGTTAATTTTGACACGTCGAATTTTGGGATGCATGTGGAATTGTGTGTATCGGATGTCCTGGAATTATTTGGCGCCGATTACGGTTCGTAAATTGTATGGTTTATTTAGAACGGGAACTGATGATTTGATGTTGAGCGCAGTTTCGGAGCGTCAAAATTTAGTCCACGTTCCGGCTTTGAAACTACTGGGTTTTTTACTGCACAATTACACGATAACCTCTATAAACGCAAATTCACTATTCAAATTTTTAATGCGTTTCTGAAAATGATTACGAATACACATAATTTCAATGAACGTTATTTGCCGCTGCAAGAATATCTTCTTATAATTATGATAATTGTAACCTGAGTTTACAGAATTCGATCCATTTGGAAACAAAATATCTGGTCCTGCTGCAGAAGAACTTTTATTCGCCAATTTTATTTATTCCAGTTAAACTAAAACTTTTAATCTCAAGAATTCTTTTACATCTGTTCTAATTGGGACCTATATTATGAGAGAAATTTTTTTTCAGAAAGTACTACAATAGAAGCGAAGAAAGAAAGTCCTTCCTGAGTTTAACCCTTTGCACTCCGCTGTCCCCTCTCGTGGGACATCGTAATTCTAGCGTGGGACATGAAAGTTTATTAGTGATTACGGGGAATTGAGTTATTTCAGCGCAACTTTTTGAGACATGCATGTTTCCCTGAAGCTTTCTCTTGAAATGGCACAAGAAATCAAATCAAAATATAGTAAAATTATATACAAGTATATACAAGTATAAGTATAAGTATAAGTAGTAACAAGAGTTGTATATACAAGAAATGTCAGCGAGTTTTGACGAGAACGTGAGAGGCGTGCTCACGACGGTCCGAGCACTTCAAAGGCGCCA